ACTGTAGGCAAAGGATGTTTAGGTTTGATATACCTAGGATATAAATAATGTTTAATCTTTATAACACACTTAATGAAAGCAGCATCTGATAGTAACATTAATCAGTGCAATCATATGACTGTGTGTGTGTCTGGACAATTAAGACTTTCTGATTCCTAATGAAAAAGCTTGCAGTACCATTCTGTTTAGAGAAATTGCTCCCTAAATAGTATGTCTTTTCTGATTTCTGTTTCCATATTTTGTTAATAGGGACATTAGCATGAATAAAGAACTTTCATCCTTCATTTATCTCCTATTTCTCATATATATCATTATAGGTTCAAATTCTATATATCATTATAATGAAATTCTATATATCATTATAGGTTCAAACTGTTTTATTGAATTTACTGTTTAAATAAATCAAACCATTTGGGCTAATGGTTTCAAAATCAAACCAGTAATAAGCCATCCTTTGTCTATTTAAAAAGAGTCTCTTCAAGAAGTGCTTTGGGTTTATTAATGTAAAGAATATGTAAAAATATGAGAAAAAAAAGATGGTCCAGTGGTCAAACAACTAGCCTAGAGACTTAGGAAACCGGAATTTGATTCCTTGCTCTGCCACACTCTACTTGTGTGACTGGGCAAGTCATTTAGCCTCTCTGTTACTTTGTTCAACATTTGTAAAATGAGGATGATAGCACTGCCCTACCTCACTGGGAGTGATTGCGCAGATAGATTGTGAGCCACTGTGATACTATGGTTTCAGGGGCCATATAACTACCAGCAGTAGGTAAAAATAAGAACCTGAAATGCTGGCCTTTGCAGTCCGTGGATATGTTGTTATCAATTTCAGTAGAGTCGTGATTTCACTTTAAGGTTTGACATATTCTGCTTCCTGTGCATAGAATAGTCGTATGTGACTGTAACACTGACAGTTACTAAAATATTGATTTATTATTTTGCCATTTAACTTGGGGTATCTGATTTGATTATTTGAAAAGTAAAAAAGAAATCATTGTAAAGGGGAAGTTCTTGGGAGCAGAAAAGAGAAAATAACATTCTGATAGTAGAGAATGGTATATGTGGATTTATTTTGACTAATGGGCAAAGAGTAAATTAAGTAGACGGGTTCTGCTTTCTAGAAATATAACTTAAGTAATTATTTAACCCATTACTCAACATTATAGCTAATTGTCTAGCCAATATGCCCATTTGCACAGTATTTCAGCTACCAGCAGGCCCACCAACAGCAAAGGGGCTTAATAATTCACAAGTGGCAGCTAGAGTCCCAGGCCCTTTAAATTGCCACCAGAACAGCGTGTGGCATGCTCCAGGCAGCTCTTAGGGCTGCCTGGGGGTGGGAGTACCAGTGCAGCACTCTCTGGGTGGCTTTGAGGGCTGGCTGTCCCCAGTCCCATCCCTTCTGCTCAAGGCCCTACCCATTAGGGTGCACAAAGCTGGCCCTCCCGCCCCTTGCCTAGAGCCACAGCAAGTCTGTCAGCCCTCCTGGGCATGAGCAACAGCTTGTAATAGGCTTTTGAGTGATTGAAAAAATCTTCAAATCATACGACTAGTACAGCATAAACTGTTCTAGTGAAAAAAGCCAAATAGGTGTGAATAGTGACGAACAACACAAAGTAACTCAAATAGTGCTGTCATCACACTAACAGGAAAATAGTACTAAAACTGTGAGCTAATTCCTAATTGAAGACAGTAGAGCTATTTTGATTCACAGCAGCTTGGGATCATGCAGCTATTAATTAAAATCTTGCAGTACTCCATAACTATTTCAAAAGACACCTGAAATGAAAGATGGTAATCATCTAGTCCATTTCCTGTCCAGAATGCAGTTAATCCGAAAATCCTTGTGAACATGACTTTTAGACTCTCACTGGGACATGGGCATGTGGCAGACTGTCCGGTGGGCCTCTATGTATGCTAGTGGTATGTCCAATCTATTTATTTTATACTTGGTTTTTAAGTAATAAAGAGGAATAAAATCCAAGCACTAGTCTTGTCTCCCTTAGGCCTTGATTCGGCAGTTGGATCTGTGTAGCCAGAAGCTTTGTGCCTGTGCTGGCACTCATTTACTTTAGTAATGCTATCTTTTTTTATACTTCAGCTTTATATGAAATGTACTTGTTTTGTGAACGCCGTTCATAATGTGAAAGTTGTCATAACTGCTTCTGAGTCTTCAGCAACGTAATCAGCTCTGATTGATCTTGGGTAGCAAAGGTAGCAAATCACAATGCATGAATGGAACACTTCTATACTTGCTCAGTTTTGCTACACATAGGTTCAAATGTCTATCTGCCTGGATAAAATTGCAGTCCAAAGCCACTTGTCTGTGGAGATAGAGATGGGAAAGTAATATGGAAGAGAAAAGAGAGCTTGGAGTTTTCTTTATTATCAAAAGTTTAACAGTGAAAAAATGAAAGTAAATGCATCTTTACAAAATAATAGTTTTCAGTTATTGGGTCACTTGCTGCTCTTGAGTTCTATGTATGATATATAATGTATTGAAAAGGGCAGAAACCATCCCTGATGTAAGTGACTGTGGCTGATATTGACTGCAATCGGTGTTGCATCCACTCATGCCAGGACTGAATTTGCTGCTATCTCTTGATGCAGTTGTTGACAGAATGAAGCTGAGGCCATCAGTCCACCTTAGTTTCATTGTCATCAGCTCAAAAATTGATCTACCTAAATTATTTTTAATTTATCCTTTAATTCTTATTATTTGTTATTATTTTGTTATTGTACATAATAACACAAATTAATGTGCAAATACAGTCAAACTTCCTAATGGAATTTTCTTTGTTTCTTCTGATTAGAGCCTCTGTGTGTTCACACCTCCGGGAGCTAAGGAAGGACAACCACGACTCATTCCTGCAGGACCCATTGCACTTGGCACCACAATATCTGCATATGTAGCCAAATACAGAAAAACGTTGTTAGTAGAGGATATTCTAGGGGTAAATTATTTTCTCTTTTTAAAGAAATACATGCATTTTTTTCTTTCTAAAATGTATTACTGTTGAAATATAAACTGGATTCTTCATACCGTAAATAATGTACATTGATACGAGTAATGTCTGATCAGAAGCTTGTATTTTCTATGTCTACATTGGTTTAATGAAAACTCTTCCTTATATAATTTTGAACTTTTACAAATGTTATGCTTTTTTTTTTCTTCAAAAAAATAACTTTTTTGTGCCAGAGAAGGGCAGTAACACTACTTTGCAGTACAAATCCATAGCTACGCTGGGAGAAAAAAAGCATGAGAGCAAAAATTCCCTTCCTAACCCTCAGATTAGACGATATGGCAAGTCCAAATACTAAAGAGACTTGTCCATAATTAATCACATTTTGATTTAATTAATGCATGACATTACTTATCAGCACCACCTTAAAATTTTCTCAGTATTTTACAGTGAATATCTTAATGTTTTATATATGTATCTTTCATGTTCATAATCAAATTCTACAGGTTTTAAGGGGAAAAATGTGTGAATTATGTCCGCTGACTTATACTTTCACCCGACACCAGTATAGCACAGCAGCTTTTCTCTTATCAAATAGACATTTATTTGCAAAGATTGTAGATATCCATATGTGCACAACATGTGCTGTCTCATTCACTTTCGGCTCAGAAGAAATCTTTTCTGTTTAATTTATGTTCTAGAATTGAAGCTGTCTATCCCAGCAGCAAATGAGCAGTGTTAAAGTGACCTGTGGGTTGGTGTTGAGAAAAGTGTTAGGAATGCTTCCACCTGACTTATTTCCTCTCCCTCCCAGTTCTCTTGTTCTTGTTTGCTTTTCTACAAGGGGAATGTTGACTATAGTGAATGGGTTCCAGGGACTTTGGGAGTGATTCAACTAGGGATATGGATGTTTAACTGGTTAACCAGTGTAACCTCAGCAATAAAGTACTATTTCTGCTGCCTGTGAAGTTAAAGGAGATATGAATAAATAAAATACAAAACTTAGTTTATCTGATAACTGACAAACTTTGGATAAGATCATTTGTATCTGTTAAATAACCATGGAGAGATATTTGATTGAAGTCTTGAATGTGAGTGAAGGATGTTGCAGTTTGTGCTAAGTGATTCAACCAGGCAAATGAGAAATGTTGATTTATTTATTATGTTATGTTATAATATTTGTATTTGATGAAGCGTTGTTTGCATTTTTTAGGATGAACGATTTCCTAAAGGTACTGGACTGGAGTCAGGGACTCGGATCCAATCTGTTCTTTGTTTACCAATTGTCACTGCAATTGGTGATTTGATTGGTATCCTGGAGCTGTATCGGCATTGGGGCAAAGAAGCCTTCCATCTCAGTCACCAGGAGGTAAGGTGTAAAATGCTGCAGCTGTTTCTTTAAAATTCCCCCTTTCCAGATGGTGCCAGCTACTTCTATTCTAGACTTCCTTCTTCATTTTGTTTTCTGTTTTTTGTTGTTATTTTTTTTGGGGGGGGAGAGGGGTTTGGTAATTGAGCCTTGTGCTCTGATAAGAGCAAAAGCTTATCAGAGAGTTGAAAAGATAGTTGACTAGTCACTTCCCCTGCCCTTGCTGCCTCTATAAAATAGAGGCAGCAAGAGGAGGTACTTAAAAGCAGTAGCTAATCCTGGGCTCAGTGCGGTGCTGCCTCTTTGAAATGCTGGAGTCGCCAGCTGACTCCAGGCTCCATGCGGCCTGCCAGCTTTGAAATGTACAAGAGTCCCCCACAGGGAGGAAGTGCAGCATGGAGCCTGGGGCCAGTGCAGGACTCTGACTCCCCTGCTGACCCGGGCTCCATGTGAGCTCTTCTACTTTGAAATGCACAAGAGCCCCACATGGAGCCTGAAGTCAGTGGGACTTCCCGCTGGAGCTCTTGTACATTTCAAAGGCGGAACACAGAAGTGTTTATCGACTAGTTAAATAATCGATGGAAATTCTATTGACTACTTAACGAGTAAATTAATTGCTACTTAACATCCCTAATTCTGAGCGACAGTTGGAAGGTGCGGTACATACACACAAAATTCTCTAATTGTTCTTTTCCATCTTGTGGGAATAATTTAAAGCATATTGTTATCAATTGTTTATTGATTATGAATTTTAAAATAACATGTTCTCAAAGTCAACACCTTTGTGGTAGGCTGTGTCAGTGAAAGCTCAAGATCAATAGATGTTTGACTAGAAGTGCATGAACTCTTGTTACGGAATGAAACTGCTCTTGTTTAATTGGATGTTATGCAAGCTCAATTTTAACTTTCCTATAAAGCTATATTTTGCTATATGAATATGTAGTGTTTTCACACTGGTCAACTTTTTCAAAGCATTTATTCTTTGATTACTATGCTTATGGGTGCTCCCCTTCAAGTTGGCATATATTACATGCACCTCTGAACAATATAGTGAAAACACTTAAATTCAGGATTGGGACTCTTGCAGCTATAAAGTCCATTACTGTATTCGATCCTGGAGATTGGTTTTCAGCCCTTGACCTTAAGGTTACATTATTTTTTCATATCTCGATTCATCCTTCTCACAAGGAGATTCCTTCAGTTTCTGGTCAACCAAGATCACTAACAGCGTTGGGTATTTCCATTTGGCTTTTTCTTTTCCTTCAAGAGTATCCTCAAAGGTTTTGGCTGTGCTTGACACCTGTCTGTGCTTGAGGATGATTTAGTTTTTTTATACGTCAGCAATTGGCTGCTCAAAGGCTGGATTTTCTGAGTTGTTCTTTCCACCATGAAGCTTTGTCCTTGTTCCAAGTCAACATGAAAAGGTGTACTTTGCCCTCTGTACAAAGGGTAAAATTCATTAGGGCCTCCTTAGACACAGTAGCAGCCAGAGCTTACCTCTCCATGGACTCATTCTCAGCTCATTCAAACTTCTCTGCAAAGATTCAAATAAGCCTCTAGACTTTGACAAAAATTGTCTTTTGGCTTCTGGGTCATATGACAGCTTCTGCCTTTGTGACATGTCATGCAAGGCGATGCCTTCTCTACGTCTCGTACATATACTGAACAAACAATCTGGAAAACCCTCACAGTGTCTGTGCCAGTGTCCATTTTATCCAGCCAGTTCCAACCATCACCATAAAGACAGATTTAACGTTGTTGTTGGATTGGGGACTCATCTAGGTACACATACCATTCAGAGCAGATGGGTTGCCCAAGAAGGTCATTTGCACATCAGTCTCCTGGAGCTGAGGGCAATAAAGAATACCTACCTGCATTAATCAGACATGGATCTGTCAAAATCATGACAGACAGCATAGCTTGCATGTTTTACCTCAACCGACAATGGTTGATAAGATCCCCTTCTCTTTGTGATGAAGCAATAAAGTTATGGAATTACCATTACTGTACAGGCTCTTCTATAGAATAATTTCAGCCATTAATAAAACCATACTCCTGTAGGGTCTTACACATATTTTGGTGTGTACAAAGCTGGGTATAGATTGGACACTCGCTACATTTGGGATCTACTTTACGCTCATTGCCGCATTTCCAATAATTCATTAGCTTTTTGTTTAATAACTAAATAATGCTATATAAAATTCTTAGATTAGGAGTAAAACATTTTAATATATCTTTGGGCATGACTACACTAGGAAATTATTTTAAAATAAATAACTCCCCAAATAACAATTTCAAAATAACGTGTCCACCCTCCAGGGAGTACTTGAAATTAGACTGAGGCAGGCTCCCTTACGGTGGACATGCTACCTTGACTTAGAGCCTCAGGAAGCACTGGGGAGTAATTACTTTGAATGAATCTGGAGAGTAACTATTTCAGAATAGCAGTAGTGGAGGGTCCATACTACCGCTATTTTGAAATACAGGTTATTCCTCGAAAGCAGGAGTTACTATTTTGAAATAACCAGCCCCTTATTTCAAAATAATGGGCTTGGTAGTCGTGGACACTTCACTTGTTATATTGAAATAACTCCTTAATGTAGCCCAGAGCTTTGTGTCCTTTTAAACATTCTGGCTACGTCTACACTGGCCCCTGTTTCGGAGGGGCATGCTAATTTTGAAAGTGGGAATAGGGAAATCCGCGGGGGATTTAAATATCCCCCGCGGGATTTAAATAAACATGGCCGCCGCTTTTATTCCGGCTTGGGGAAAAGCCGGAAAAAAGCGTCTAGACTGGCCCGATCCTCCAGAATAAAGCCCTATTCCGGAGGATCTCTTATTCCTACTTCAAAGTACTACTTCAAAGTAGGAATAAGAGATCCTCCGGAATAGGGCTTTATTCTGGAGGATCGGGCCAGTCTAGACGCTTTTTTCCGGCTTTTCCCCAAGCCGGAATAAAAGCGGCGGCCATGTTTATTTAAATCCCGCGGGGGATATTTAAATCCCCCGCGGATTTCCCTATTCCCACTTTCAAAATTAGCATGCCCCTCCGAAACAGGGGCCAGTGTAGACGTAGCCAGAATGTTTAAAAGGACACAAAGCTCTGGGCTACATTAAGGAGTTATTTCAATATAATAATTTTATCTCACAAAAAGTGTTGTTACAGTTAAGCAGTTAAGAAAAATCTAAGCAGTTCTAGAAAAAATGCATATTAATAGAATACATAGCAGTAGATTTTTTACAATTCTGTTTGTTCCCAATAAAACGTATGTGTTTTATGGATAGGAGATTATGCCTGGTAGCACATCTCATATAACTACAAATTACATCACATTTGTTTGAAATGTTGTCTAGAAACTGACATACTTTAAAAAATAGTCTTGTTTTAGTGAACATGTCTGATTCTTCTGCAACACAAATGGGGGTGAATAAAGCAGTGCCTGTCTATAAGTAGTGTTTTTTCCTTTAGAAGTATTAGGGGTTGACTGGATTGGTCCTCACTAAGATTGTTTCATTGTCATGGGATCTTTCATTGTGTGGCAGAAACATTTTAATAATGTATGAAATGTATGTTTTGAAACGCCTCAGCTACGTCTACACTGCAGGCTTCTTGCGCAAGAGTTCTTGTTCAAAAGGTCTCGCACGAGCGCTTCCACACTGCCATGTGCTTTTGCGCAAGAGAATTGCTTTTGCGCAAGAGCGCCCATGTCAGTGTGGACACTCCCTTGCGCAAGAAAGCTCTGATGGCTATTTTAGCCGTAGGGTTTTCTTGCGCAAGAAGTCCCTGTTGCCTGTCCACACTGTCTTCTTGTGGAATAGTTCTTGCGCAAGCGGGCTTATTCCTTGTGGGGAGAAGAATAACTCTTGTGCAAGAAGCCCTGTTTTCGGACACTTCACTGTAAATTTACTTGAGCAAGAATGTGCGTGCAGTGTAGACACTCTGCAAGATTTTGCGCAAGAACACCTGTTATTGAGCAAAAAGCCTGCAGTGTAGATGTAGGCCACCTGAGTTCTTGAAGGGCTGATCCCATCTTGCATTTGTTGATAGGTGAATCCTTTAGGACAGTGAAATACTGATAGTCATGTTACACCTTTCATAAATACATTTCTGTCCTCCCTCCCCTGCAAAATATCGATCCTGTCTATGATCTAAAAAATATCTGCAGGTGAAGTGTTCAAATATTCAAAGACATTTAACAGCTGCATCAAAAAATAGTATGATAGAACTGGTGTGACATTTAGTAGACTTTTCTCAGAGTTACAGTTCCTTCCATTTTGTTACAGGTTGCAACAGCGAATCTTGCATGGGCCTCGGTAGCAATACATCAAGTACAGGTGAGTCTGAATTCGTTACTGTAGGCTTGTCAGGATCATTGTGATTATCTAATCTGAATGCTGGCATAAAAGAGCCCAGAGGGAAACACTGAATTAATTCCTGTTTGAACTGGAGCAAGGCCCAGATTTTAAAGGTGTAAAGCATGGTTGCACTCAGCAGTGTTACACCTGATTTAGAAATGTTAAAACTTATATTCAAAAGGGATTTAAGCATGTACGAATCTAAATCCCATTGCCTATTGCCTTAAATGCCTAAATCCATTTTGAAAGTGAGATGTAGGCTCCTAAATCAATTAGGCTTTGCAAGACTTGGTGCAGCAATGCCTAATTTTCTTTAAAAATCTGAGTCTATAGTTTAAAATAGGGGTGGAGAACCTCAAGCCCAGAGACTGCATCCGGCCCGAGGCTTGCTTAAATCTGGCCCCCGTTGCTCAGGTCCCCCCCTGCATTGGGGAGCCTGTGCTGGCACTCCAGTCCACCTGCTGGTCAGCCCCTCCTCAAACCCCCTTCCTCCCCCCCGGGGTGGGAGCACACAAAATCTACTAGGCTCTGATGAGCAAAGGGAATGTTGGGAATGTCTTTCTCTTTCTCAGTTGAGTGTCACATCAGTGAGGGGTTTTTGTGTGTAGTTCTAGACTGATTTTTCCGTGGGTCAGTGGCCCCCAATCCAAAAAAGGTACCCCACCCCTGATTTAGAAAAATATTGAATCTTGATTTAAAAGTTGGCAGTAATGCAGATTCTATCAGGACCATTGGTAAGTTGTTCCAATATCTAATTGTCCCCGCTGTTAAAAATGCATACTTTATTCCAGTCTGAATTTGTCTGTCTTCAACTTCAACCATTGGCTTACATGTAATACCATTGTCTCCTAGACTCAAGAACCCATTATCAAATTTTTGTTCTCCAAAGACTGATCAAATCATCCCTTAACCTAATTGTCATTTGTTTCATTGCACTTTTAAGAAACCATCAAGTAAAACTATTATACCTACTGTGTAAGTTCGTAAGTAGAAACTGTGGGTCTAATTTCTCACATTTTGTGTAGTTATTCACGCCCACTTGGCGCATGGGTAAAATGTCATATTTGAATGGCATTTTATGGTATAAAAGGCGCATACCAGTAAAAGCCCATTTTCTGTATTCTTTCTGCAAACTTCCATGAACATTCCAGGAGTATATTGATGTAAAATTCAAAGAATTTTAATAAGAAATATGATGAAGTAGCAATGGGGTTCAAAGTTTCCATTTCATACAGCAAGATTTTCTTTTCCCTGCACTGATAATTGTACTTGGTCTCTGTAATCCTATTACTATCCCCAAAGAAAAAGCATGGGGAAAAGGAGTCTTTAGCAATTCTGCTTCATTTCACTCATTGGGTGCCTTTATGGGCAACTTAGGCAAGCTGAGAGAAGTCATGAAGGAACAGTGTATGGATACACAGAAAACAAACCCTTTTAGCATTCTGAGCAAGATTGTAGAATTTGATATGGAAGTACAATAAGTAAAGTTCATTTCACCTAAGAATCAGTGGCACTTTTGAATTTTACAGCCCTGAACAATAGGCAATATTTTTTAGCAAAGATGGTGAAATGTATTGCTCATTCATGTTAATGTTTCCCCAGCTCTGAAGAAAGATACTTAAATTTGAAGCGTGACATGCTAACCTGTATTAGTTCTTTAGTATGTTTTATAGTGTTGATATGTAGTTGTGTACACTTTGTCTATATACAGATTAGACACTTAAAATGTTTGTCCTGCTGTTTCATTATGAGTCCAGTGCTCTCCTGGAATAGCAACAATGTATAATGTGTTTCTCTCAGGTGTGCAGGGGTCTTGCCAAACAGACTGAACTGAATGATTTTCTGCTTGACGTATCAAAGTAAGTATGATCTGCAACAAGATCTGCAAGAGCTGAATGACCACCCAGCAGGGCAAAGTGAACTGTGCTTTATGGTTTCTGGGACAGGAAGAATGAAAAACTGCTGCAGAAAGGTCGTCATGATCGCTGACTCATCCCCTGGGAATGAGGGATTGAAAAGGGGTAGCTCAGTGCCTTAACCCTCTGTTTTGCACTGAGCAGGCTATGTAGCAGGGGAGACCTAGCTCTGATGCACAGCTCAATTTGGCCCAAAGTGGAAGCAGGACAGTGAGCAGGGAGACAGGAAGAAGCCCTTCCCGGTTTTAGTGCACTTTTATCTGCCAGATAGTCCCAGACTTCTAATAATAAAGGTGCGGCCTTATTAAACCCATGCCACGTCTCCTCCTTTCAGTATAGCCAGACAATGATTGATTCTGTGACAGGCTCCTTTTTTCATAAGTGAAAGATACCAGTTCATATTTTTCTTAGAAATTTGTATGTTTGTGCTTCCCATCCATTTTCCCTGTTTGGTTATGGGTTTCTTCTACCTGCATTTGCTCCTTCGTTTTGGAATTTTTAAATGCTGCTTGAGATTTTTTTCTTGTACAAGTCTTATAAAGGCCAAGGTATTCATTATTTACGTGATATTTGTATTTTGATTCAGGGTCTCTTACTATATTTAGCGTGTTTTCTGATAATTTCTGTTCAAATTTCAGTTCTTCACCACATTTCTACTGTATTGTAGAAATATGTATAGTTTTTTTTAATCTTTCCTCCTATGGAATCTGTTCCATATCCCTAATCATTTGTGTTGCCTTTTTCTGTATCTTTTCCGATTCTAATATATTCTTTTTGAGATGGAATAACCAGAACTGCATGCAGTGTTTGAGATGTGGGTGTACAAGCAGTTTATAAAATGGCATTAGGATATTTTCTGTCTCGCTATCTTTCACTTTCCTAATGGTTCCTAATAGTCTGTTAGCTTTTTTGGTTGCCACCACTGCTATTTGGACAGATGATTTTCAGAGATTGTTCCACAATGACTCCAAGATCTCTTTAATGAGCAATAACAGCTAATTTAGACCCCATCATTTAGTATGCATAGTTGAGATTATATTTTGCACTGTGCATTGCTTTGCATTTATCAGTGCTGAATTTCATCTCCCATTATGTTGCCCAGTCATGTAGTTTTGTGAGATCCCTTTGTAACTCTTCACAGTCATATTCGGACTTTGAGTAATTTTGTTTCTTCTGCAAACTTTGCGCCTCTCTGTTTTACCCCTTTTTCGTGATCATTTATGAATATGTTGAACAACACAATCCCAGTGCAGATGCTTGGTGGAGCCTGCTGTTTATTGCTTTATATTGTGAAAACTGTGACAGGCTGCAATCACAGAAGTTCCCTTAGGTGTTCTGATCGTGCTTCTGACACCCACCTTCCTGCTCTTTGGGGATACCTATCACCCTGTCCTGCTGGGCCAAATTATCTAGTCTCCCCCTGCAGAGTAGCACAGATGCTGAACAGTTCAACTCCATGAGGGCTCAGCTAGGGTGTGTCTAGACTACATGCCTCCTTCGACGGAGGCATGTAGATTAGCGAGATCGGAA